CCCCCCCGCTCCCGGAGGTCGCCGAGCCCCCGCCGGGGCTCCCCGAGGCGGCCGCGGGCACCCCCGGCGACCCCGAGAGCCCCGCGCCCCCCGGGCTGGGCGGGGGGTCCCGGCGGGTTCTTTTCGCCGACGCTCTGGGGCTGCCCCTGGCCCGCCTGCGGCAATACCGGCCCTGGGACCCCCGGGGGAGGGGGGCACCGGCGGGGGGGGGGTCCCCGGTAAGGGGGGAGGGGGGCGCGGTGGGAGAGCCGCCCCCCCCCGGGATCTGGATGAGGCCTGGGAAGGGCAGGTAAGAGGTGGGGGGGAGGGGAAATCTGCATGGGGGACCCCCCCCCCAAAATGGGGTCAACCCCCGACCCCCCCCTCCCCGCATGTGCCCCCCTCGAAATTGGGGGGGGGGGGGCTGTGGCGCATGTCTGGGATCCCCCCGGACCCCCAAATGTGGGTCACACTCTGGGGGGGGGGGTGCAGATGCTGCTCCCCCACCCCGAATTTGGGGGTGGGGCGGGGGTCCTGTGCGGTGACCCCCCCCACACACACCCGTGTCCCCCCCAAAAGGCCACAGGAGGTGGAGGATGTGCAGCCCCCACCCCCCGAGCACAGCACAGGTAAGTATCGCTGCCCCAAATTTGGGGGCGCACCCCAATTACTGGGGCACCCTCCAATTTTGGGGATCCCCCCGAACTTTGGGGTGGGGTGTGGGGGTCCCTCACCCCCTCCCCTTTCCCCTCGCACAGAGCCTGACCCTGCCCCGACGCCCCCCCCGGATGCGGAGCAGCCCCCAGCGCAGGTGAGACAACACCCCCTCCTCCTCTCCCCCCCCCCAAAACTGGGGTGCCCCCCTCCCCCGAGCAACGGGGTGCCTCCCCAAGGATGGGGGCACCCCAAATTCTGCCCCCCCAAAACCCAGGGCGCCGAGGACGAGGCGGTGGCGCGGGAGCTGGAGCAGCTCTACCTGTCCCACCTGCGCCGGCTGCGGGGGGACCCCGGGCACAGCGACGACCCCCCCCCGAGAAACGGGGACCCCCCGTTCCCCGAGCGAGCCCCCAACACCTCTCTGGCCAACGAGATGGCGCTGCGCTACGAGGGGGGCGGTGGTCGCTGCAGCCCCCCGGTGCTGCTGGGGAGGGGGCGGCCGGTGGAGGGGGCGCTGCTGGTGCCGGCGCGGCCCCCCCGGGGCAGGGGGAGCAGTTTGGGGGGGGCCCTCAGGGGGTGCGGGCTGGTTTTGGCTTTGGCCGTGCTGGTACCGGTGGCTTGGGGGGACGGCGGGGGTCCCACGGCCGCGTTGGCCCTGGGGCTTTACCTGGCGCTGGCTTGGTTGACGTGAGGGTGGGGTTTGGGGGGTGGTGGGGGGGGGGGAGCCCCAAAAATTGTCGCCACCCAAAAATTGTCACCACCCAAAAAATTGTCACCTCCCAAAAAGTCACAGCACGCACCCCCCCCCCCACCACCATGTCACCTTTGGAAATGTGGGACACCCCTAAATCAGTGGGGGGAAGGGGGGCGGCGTGGGGAGGTGGAAGGGGACCCCCAAATGGAAGCAGACCCCTAAAATGGAAGGGGACACCCCAAAATGGAAGGGGACCCCCAAATGGAAGGGGACCCTCAAATGGAAGGGGACCCCTAAATGGAAGGGGACCCCCAAATGGAAGGGACACCCCCAAATGGAAGGGGACCCTCAAAATGGAAGGGGACTCTCAAAATAGAAGGGGACTCCCAAAATGGAAGGGGACCCCTAAATGGAAGGGCCCCCCCAAAATTGAAAGGCCCCCCCAAAATGGCAGAGGACCCTCAAAATGCAAGGGGCACCCCCAAATGGAAGGGGACCCTCAAAATGGAAGGGGACCCTC